TTTATCCAAACCCAGGGGTTCCCCCTCATTTCCCTCCCACTTTGCTTTATTCCACTTCCTTAATCATCACCAATTAATTTCATGTAACCCACCGATGTCCCTCCTTTGACTGTAATGTATAAACACAAATGTAACCCGCCATTCTCAGGAGCATTATCTCAATTCGTTGAGGTCCTGCTTCCTGGCATATGTTGACAGTTTGGCTCAAATAAACTCACAAAAATTCTTTACACTTTGAATGTTGTTGTTTTTTTGTTTTGTTTTTTACGTTAACAGGTTTTAGAGAGAAGGAGAAAGAGAGAGAGAGACATTGATTTGGTGTTGCACTTATTTATGCATTTATTAGTTGATTCTTGTATGTGACCCTGACCAGGGATTGAATCGAAACCTTGGCATATCAGGATGATGCTCTGACTAACTGAGCTACTTTGTCCATCCAGGGACGTCTTAGAGGCTAAATCCTGTTTGTACACCTTTGTACTAACAGACTCTGACTGATTAGATGGCTGTTGGTGGATGTTTAGAAAATATTTGTGAAATGAATTAATAATTGCATAAATAAATGGATGATGCATGAATGAATAGAAGGTACAGTGGTGCCTCACACAACGAACTTAATTCGTTCCAGGACCAAGTTTGTTATGCGAAAAGTTCGTTATGTGAAACGCGTTTTCCCATAACAATACATGTTAAAAAAAATAATTCGTTCTGTAGCATAAAATATGCTAAGATGACATAAAAAAAGATAAATTTTTTGTTATTATTTTTATTTAGATACATCTAAAAACATAATTTTTTTTAAAAAAAACACATTTTTTAAATTTTAAGACAGACTAAGTAGAGTCTACCGAATCTTGCACATCTTCATCCATTTTCTGCTTTTTGGCCAATGGTTTCATGAAAAACCTGTCCAAAGTCGTTTGTTTTTCTCTTTTCTCCAACATCTGCCAGAAATAACGGACAAGAGTATCGGAGTAAAGATCGTTGATCCTGTTTGCTTCAGCTGAATCCGGATAGTGGGCATTGGTAAACTCCTGAACTGCTTTCCATTTGACCAGGATGTTCTTGATGTCAGCAGTTGGGATTGGTTGATTGTTTGATTGTTGCTCCTCGTTATCAGATGACGCTTCCCTTTGAGCATTGTCCTGTTGCTGGACCAGAAGTGCTTGGAGCTCTTCAGTTGTCAGCTCTTCTTCGTGTTCCTCAATAAGCTCCTCTACATCCTCTTCCTCTACCTCTAATTCCAACCTTTGGGCCACTGTGATGATGTCCTTCACTGCTTCTGTGTCATCAACTACTGCTTCTTCCTGGGTCCACAAAGGCACAAGCATCTTCCAAGCAGAAATGAGGGTCCTTTGTGACACTTCTTCCCAGGCCTTCTGTATAAGTCGTATTGCCATAAGGACCTCAAATTTCTCCTTCCAAAACTTTCGGACAGTCATATTGTCTCCACCAAACTCGCATTCTTCAAACACCTTATTAAAGAGGGCTCTAGTGTAGAGTTTTTTAAAGTTCGCAATAACTTGCTGATCCATTGGCTGAAGAATGGATGTGGTGTTTGGTGGCAAATACTGCACCTTGATAAAAGGATAATTTTCCTGCAATATTTCCTCTAGGTCTTTTGGGTGAGAAGGGGCATTGTCAAGTATCAGAAGGGCTTTGAGCGGCAGTTCTTTTTCCAGCAAGAATTTCTTCACGGCAGGAGCAAAGGTTTCCAGAATCCATTCGTTGAAGATAACTTGGGTCACCCAGGCTTTTTGATTGGACTTCCAATGGATGGGCAGTTTGGACTTAATAACGTTATTTTTCTTGAAAATTCTTGGATTTTCAGAGTGATAAACCAATAGAGGTTTGATCTTGAGGTCTCCGCTGGCATTAGACGAAAACATAAGGGTAAGTCTGTCCTTCATGGCTTTGTGTCCTGGCAATTTCTTCTCCTCTTTTGTAATGAAGGTTCTGCTCGGCATTCTTTTCCAGAAAAGACCCGTTTCATCGGCATTGAACACTTGTTGTGGGCAGTATCCTTCATCCTTAATACATTTTTGAAAGTTAATAGAGAACTTTTCTGCTTCTTTCTTGTCCGCACTGCCAGCCTCACCATGCATAGTAACACTGTGGATTCCACAACTTTTCTTAAATCTAAAAAACCACCCCCTGCTGGCTTTGAATTCTTCTTCATTATCTTGATTGCTGCTACTTCCAGGGACGTTTTTCTTTAGATCGTCATAAATTCTCTTGGCTTTGTGACAGATAATATCTTGGGTTGTTACGTCACCTTTCACCTGCCTGTCCTTAATCCAAATCACTAATAGCCTCTCCATTTCCTCGTGGATTGAAGACCTATGTTTTTCATGAAATAGTTTTGATACTCCTTTGGCTACTTTGGCTGATTTGATTGCATCCTTATTTGTCAAAATGGTGAAAATGGTGGTCTTGCTGAGGCCAAACTCTTTGACGAGGTCACACTGTTTTACCCCACATTCACTCCTTCTAATTATTTCCTGTTTCATTTCAACAGAAATCACCTTCCTGCTTTTTTTAGAAGCCATGATATAAGAAAAATATTGAGTTTAACTTAAAAGGACGACTGCCGTGATACGTGCGTGATTTAATTCGTAATGAAGAACGATTGCCGCGATACGTGCTTAAGTTAAGCGCAGTGACTAATGACTGCCTGCAGTGCCTGCGCGGAAGGATGCAATACATCGGCAGCGATCGTGGAAGCTCGGGCGAAGCAGTCGTGGAAGCTCGGGCGACTTCGTTGTGTGAAACGAAGTTCGTTGTATGAATCATGAAATGAAGTTTGTTGTGTGCAGCGTTCGCTGTGCGAGGCGTTCTTTATGCGAGGCACCACTGTATAGTATTTTTCCCAATTAAAATGTGCCTCAAGGATTCATCCACAGGTTTCTCATTGTTTGATTTTTTAATATATTTTGTTTCAAAACAGAACATTAGCACAATTGATTCCCATAACCATATGCCATTTTATGGAAAACAGGAGAAAAGGGGGAAAAGACCCATATACTTCCAGAACCCAAACACTTAAAGTCCCCCTTTTGCATTTTAGGGTATGTGTGTTTTCTTCATTATACCAAAGGATGTTCTCGCTTCAATCTTATATGAAAATAATTTCCATTTTGCTGTTTCACTTAATAAGACTATTTACACAGCTATTATTTTAATGATAATTTATAGAACATGATAGATGTGCCATATTATGTTTTACATTTTAGACTGTATCTGTTGTTTCACTATTATGAATATTGCTGCACTAAAGTTTTAATGTATATAAGCCATAGGTTTTCAGGGTTACTGTCTGATAATGGGATTGCTTTTCTTTGAGGAGTATACAGTCTTTACAATGGACCTCACCTTCAACCACTGTAGAAAGGGATGGGGAGGAGAGAAGGAAGGTAAAGAGGGGAAAGCAAATATTGAAGAAAGGGAAGGAAGTAAAGGAAAACAGAAGGGAAGGAAAGATAAGGAAAGCGAAAGAAGAAAGGGAAGAAAGCAAAACAAAGAAGAGAACTAGGTAAATCAGGGAGAATGACAAAGAAAAGAAAGGAAAAGATAAAAAAAATTGGCAAGCTCTTTTCTCTGTGTAAACTTGCTAATAATTCCAAACACATTTCTCTAACCACCACCATGCTTTCCAGGCATCAGCTTAGCATGTGACCAAATCACAGGATAAAAAAGACACAACATACAATAGTATCTGCCCCTGTCTGGACAATTCCTAGACACCAGGGCCTCACACTTTACAGAACAAAGAACTCATGGCTTACTTTGTTGCTAGGTTTTAGGCAACCTTCTTTCACACCCCCCACTCCCTCCACCTTTCTCAAGGAGAGCTAAATTTGTGAACAAGAGTAGTTAGTACTGTATAGTGACTTACCTTACCAAGTTAAAACACAATCAAATTAAATTAAAGAAAAATTTCCCCTTTAAAAGCTTTTACATTTTCTTGATGAAACACAACTAGAAATTCAGGGGCAAAATGAAAATATGTATTTTGCAAAAAGGTTAAAAGATGGTTAGACATATTCATTGTACAACAACATGCACAGCAGCATATAGGGCGACCTCTGTCTGCTGTCAATGTTCAATGCTTCGCTCAAGTTGATGTTATGCATAATTGGTAATCAGGAAACCGTAACATTGCCTTTACAATTTGGAAATGCCTGTCATTATCTTCACTGAACAAAATTGCTGATTGAATAAAAGTTCTCTTGCCTTAGAAGTGACTCGGTTATAGCAGTCATTGCAACATCAGAAGATTATTTACACAGAGAGAGTAAAAATTCCACATTTGACCAGAATTGGGCATAATGATACAGAACATTACTTTAACTTCATACAGGAAAAGAAACTAATGGCTAGCAATATTTCTACATTTAACTTCATATAGAAAAAGAAACGAATGACTAGAAATATTTCTTATGGGAAATTGTTTTCATTCATTCATGAAAAAACATTAGTAGTAAAATAATCACTGATAGGCAACAGTGTTGCTAAAAATGGGGTTTCTCTGTTTGAAAACTATATAATTTGATATGCATCTTTCCATATTTCAATAAGTCAAGTAAAAGGTTAATAGATTTAATATGATCACAAATTACCAATCGGAGGTTGGTACTTTAGTTTCTACAAATACTTTTGGATAAATAATAAGCCTTTTTCTTTTTCTATATCCTTGCTTTTCCTAATGGACTGGAGTGGATGGTGGATACTGAAAGCCAAGGAAGCAAGCTCCCATGAAGTTCCCAGGGGAGGGAGATGGCAGTGGAGTTGAACTTGAAGTCTTGGCACCATCCAGGAGACCTGAATCCAGACCTCGTTAGTCCTGAGCAAGCTTTGAACATTAACCCTGTCATCAGCATGCACTCTGGCAGCTCGCAGAGTCACATGGGTGCAACGCAGCCTTCAGCTGAGTTAGCAGCCATGGCTCAGAGGACGGGCTGCCTGTACATTGTGTTAGAGAAGAAAAATGCTTGACCTACTTGGATCTGATAAGATGGAGTCAGTTTTCGGCAGAAATTGATCACAACGGACTCCTTGATAGCCTTCCTTGCACCTGAGGAAAAAGGGATAAATAATGAACATATGCATGTGGCTGTGAAAGTTTCAGAATTTCAGCAAGCAAAATAGCCACTAATTACATAAAATAGGTAAATGTGAGAATGAAACATTCATTCTTTTGTATAATTTGATTTAGTATGTCTGCAACATCAACAGGCAGATTTTAGTCTATTTCTGTGCAAAAACAAACAAACAAACAAACAAACATCCTAGCTTCTCTTTGTTTTTATAATTTTATATATGTTACCCAATGCACAAATTGAATACTTTTTAAGGTGACCCTTATAGCAATCTCAGCAGTGGTAACCCTCATGTCAGAGTTCTGGACACAAGGATGCTTTTTTGAATGCAGCACACTGTCTCTAAGAGGCTGTAATACTCTTTCAGAAGCATTGCTTTCCACATGGCATTTTTCTAATAAAAAACGTTTTCTCGTGTAACTTATCAAATATCATCAATATATTTTGGAAACTATTTTTTTATGTTTTATTAGTTCCTTTGCAAATTTTAAAAATATATATTTTATTGATTTCAGAGAGGAAGGGAGAGAAAGAAAAAGATAGAAACATCAATGATGAGAGAGAATCATTGACTGGCTGCCTCTTGCACACCTCCTACTGGGGACCGAGCCCACAACCCAGGCATGTGCCATTGACCAGAATCAAACCCGGGACCCTTGAATCCACAGGCTGATGCTCTATACACTGAGCTAAACCATCTAGGGCTAACTTTTTTTTTTTTTTTTTTTTTAAGTTAGCTATTCCTCATGTCCCTGTGGCCTGATTGGCCAGCACAACATCTTTCACATCTGTCAAGATCTCTATGTGCAAGGTCTCCGTGTGTTCTCTGTAAATGCCAAATTTTCTCTCTCATTTTCTCTTTTGAGTTCAGCAAACATGTGCAAAGTGCCTGCTTTCTGCTAGGCATTGCATGAGGAACTTTCCTGAGGTGGGTGCAATTTGGAGGCGAGGGATTTGCCTGCAAGCACCGGCAATGAGGCAATGAACACAAGGCCTGGTCCTCTGTCAGTCTCCCTCCAGAAGGGCTGCTGGCTGCCTTGGATAGCGTCAGCTCGACAGTGGCAGGTCAGGGAACAACTACAGCCCAGGTGGCCCCAAACCCCTGTTTTAGAGCAGTAGCCACAAGGAGATGTAGCCTTTACTGATGGACTTGAAATGTAACCTGTCATGCCACAGGTAAGCAGGGAGTCACTCGTTGTTGCTGATGAATGAATATCTCCTATGGACAGTGGAAGAAACTGTGCTGAGGGCATAAACATCAGATTTACCAAAACAATCCTCTGCTATTAGAAATCTATTAAATCCACAAAAGAATGCAAAGGGACCGCTTTGTCTCAGGCAGGATGGTGAAGTCTTTCTCTAGAATATGCTTTGCTTTGGGTGTGATAAACTATTAGATGAAATCTATTGCAACTGAAGCAGCGACATTGAAAGGCACCGGGGTCATTTTTTTACCTCTCACAGTGAGTCACATCAGAATTCAAGTGAGCTGCAAGCGCTTTTTAGCACCCTTTTAAGCCTGGTGCTCAGGGTGTACTTGGCTATTTTCCTCTTATACTGAGAAACAAAGACTTCTGATATAAGAACACCCCTGATACTCAATAGGCTATTGAATAAAAGTTGCTTAAGCAGCCACATATTTTCAAAACCTTTTTAAAAATTCACTTATTGCCCTTGAAATGAAGCAGGCCTGTCACCCAGTTTACAATGGTAAAAAGTCAGAAAATGCTTAGGACTGGAGCAATTCATGATGAAAAAATAAATAAATTTCTTTTCTCTGAAAGCCGGCTTATTGTTGTTAGTTCATCTTTATTCGGAAGTCCTGGAACTATGGTGTTTTAATTTTCATTTTCCCTTGCGTTACATTTGGGTGTGTGCTACAGCATGCATTAACTTTTTGAAAGATTTTATTTCTGACACATGAGGAAGATTTTCAGCACTTTAGTCTTTATAAATTTATTTAATGTGAAATGGTTCCCTAGAGAGATAGGTGCTTTAAGTAGGTGCTTTAAGAGGAAGTGCTTTTTTTTTGTGTGTGTGTGTTTTGCTTTGCTTTTTAAGTCTTCTTTGTAAGTTAAGAGTCATTATTCTATTTGTGTGAAAAAGAAAATAAGGACAGATATTTGTAATTGTTCAAGTCTTAAAGAAATGTCCCATGCATTTGAACCCTCTCTGAAGGGTTCAGGCCCCAGGGTATCAGGACAACTGCACAGTGAGCGCCCTCATCCTGCCCCATGCCCCTGGGCTGTAGGTGATAAAATGTGATGCATGATGGTGTCAGCAGCCAGGCCCAAGCTGGGAGACCCACCAGGCTGTGCGCCCAGACATGCCAGCCCCGTGCCTTTGTCACAGAGGCAGGGTTTGTTACAAAGCCTTTGCTAATTGGTGCTGGGTTTCAGAAATTTCATTTTTTAAATTTTCATTCAATAATCACACATAGGAGAACCAAGATGGCAGCATAGGTAAACACCTGTACTTGCTGCCTCTCACAACCATATCAAAACTACAACCAAAAGACAAAACCTTGGGAAAGCTGGCTGAGTGGAAGTTCTACAACTAGAAGGAAAGAGAAAAGTGCATTGAGACTGGTATGAGGTGCAGATGTGTGGCTGTGCAGGGGTATGCTTAAAAGGGGCTGGCAACTAGGTGTGCTGCTGTTTGTTTCAATTAGATGAGATATACAAGCTCCCAACTGCTCTAAATTTCAGTTCCCAGTGAGACTCTAGGGACCCAGACTCATATGGGGAAAAACTGGATTGTCTGGCATCAAGCCAGAACTTGAGGGTGGCTTTCTCTCAGAGGTGCTCACAGCCATCATTGTTTCTGCATGGGGACATAGGACACATAGATCTGGGGATCTCTTTGGTGCAAGGCTGACTGGTAGCCATTATTTTTGTTCTACCCTGGTGATTCCCTGAGACTCCACCCCAACCAATTTAAAACCCCACCAAAGCTGTGCACAGAAGCTTTTGCATATGAATGGCCTGAACTTTTGCCGCCTAAAACCTAACAAACTATAGCTAGGTCAGAGAGCTTCAAAGCTTCCAAAAGAAGGCTCAAGGCCCAGCAGCAGCAGCCTGCCTGCTTCATAGCTGAGCCTCATCTGGGCACTTCCAAACCCCAAACAAGTAGGAGAAATCTGCAAATCTCTTTGAGGCTCCTATTGGGTGGCCTCAGACAGTGGCTGACTTTGCACCTCCTTGGAGATCCCAGAGCAAGTGTATGCAATGGTCAGTGTGAGACCAACCAGATTACAACCCTTTACATCATAAGTGAAAAACTCAAGGGGCAGACTCAGAGAACACCAAAGCCCCACTGAAAAAAGTTCTGCCCCATAAGGATGTATCCAGAACAGCAGTTCTTCCGTTGTTGATATAGCTGGTCCTCACAGCCAGTTGGCCTGGAGGTTAATTCCTCCCAGTGATATAGCAATCAAGGCTTAACTACAACAAGACTGTGCACCCAACACACAAAGGGCTCCACCAAGAGTGTCCACCTCAGGTGATTGGGGAGGCTGAGTCACTGGGCCCTATAGGACACCTAGCACACAAGGCCACTCTATTAACATAGGGAAGCAGCCAAAATGTGAAGACAAAGAAACATGTCACCAATGAAAGAAATGTAGTAAAGCAAACTACTGGATATAGTTCAAAACCAGTTATAAGTTTACTCAAGAATCTTCTAGAAATTTCTGAGGAACTTAGTGAGACCTTCAAGGATCTTAGTGAAAATTCAAAAAAACAAAAACAAAAAACAAAAAGTGGAAAGGAACCAGCCAGAAATTAAGCATGAAATGACTGAAATAAAGAATAATATATAGAAATTCAACAATAGATTAGAGGATCCCAAGAATCAAGTCAAATATTTGAAATACAATGAAGCAAAAAAACAAAAACAAAAAACAAACAAACAAAAAAACAAAAAAACCCAACCAGAAAAGCAAAAAGCAAAAAAGAATCCAAAAATATGAAGATAGTGTAAGGAGCCTCTGGGACTTCAAATGTACCAACATCTGAATTATGGGATAACATAAAAATGGAAAACAAGATATTGAAAACCTTTTTGAAGAAATAATAACAGAGAACTTCCCCTCCCTGTTGAAGTAAATAGACTTATAAGTCCAGGAAAGGCAGAGAACGCCAAACAAGAGGAATCCAAGAGGACCACACCGAGACACATCATAATTAATATGTCAAGAGCAAAAGACAAAGAGAGAATCTTAAAAGTAGCAAGAAACAAATAGTGAGTTATCTACAAAGGAGAATCCATATGACTGTTAGCTGATTTCTTAACAGAAATTATGCAGGCCAGAAATATTCATTCAAATAACAAAAATCTACAATCAAGATCACTCTACCCCGCAAAGCTATCATTTAGACTTAAAGATCAGATAAAGAGCTTCACAGGCAAGAAAAAACTAAAAAAAATCATCACCACCAAATCAGTATTATATGAAATGCAGAAGGGTATTCTTTAAGAAGAGAAAAAAGAAGAAAAATGCGAAGACAAAATGTGAAGACAAAGAAAAAGGCAAAGATAAAAATTATGGACAACAAACACATATCTATCAACAAGTGAATCTAAAAAATCAAGTGAATAAAAAAGTATGAACAGAATAAATTAGTGAATATAATAGAATCAGGGCATAGAAAGGGAATGGAATGACAGTTCTCGAGGGGAAGAGGGTGTGGTGGGGTGAGGCAAGAGATGGGATGAAAATTGTACACCTATGGATGAGGACAGTGGGAAAGAGGGTAAGGGCATGGAATGGGTGGAGGGGAGCTATCGGTGGGGGAAAGAGGAACATATGTAATAATCTGAACAATAAAGGTTTATTTAAAAAATAATCACACATAGCCCGACCAGTGTGGCTCAGTGGTTGAGCATCAACCTATGAACCAGGAGGTCATGGTTTGATTCCTGGTCAGGGCACATGCCTGGGTTGCAGGCTCAATTCCCAGTAGAGGGTGTGCAG